CAGCAGCAATGGATCAGAGCCAGGAGAACCATCAACAACACAGTACCTGGGGGAGAATCAAGCAATCACGTCCACTTAAGTTCCCTTCCCAGGCTGCTAGCACCAGGGCACCAGCCGTGACTGCTCCTTCTAGAGAGTCAATCGGGCCTGTGTCTCACAGTCCTTCTCCAAGCCTCTGGCAGGATCAAATGTACATGCCCATTGCAGGTGCCCTTCCTGGACTGATGCAATACTCGGAGCAATAGCACGAATGCCTCTTCCATACGCCTCGCTGACCCTTGCATGCTCCCTAGTGCTGCTGAGTCACCCAGCTGGCAGCATGCCATGTGTACAGCAGCTGCTGAATTGTGAGCCCTAAGCATAGTTAAAGCCACTGCACATTGCTAGAGACAGGAGATGTGGAATCCTTGGACTCCAGATCACTAACCAAGGCAGTTGTCATCTCCAGGGTTCCGCAACCCCCAACAGTAAGTATGGAGGACCGGGAAAACAGCCATTGGCAGAGAGGGCCAGGCGTGAATCCAACATCTCAAGGAGCCAGGTACAGCCTGACCTACACACACAGCTACACCAGTTTAGTTAAGCTCCTGTGTGGACACTCTTATTGGGGTCCAAGAGGTGGCTTGTTTCTGTTTACCTTAAACCAGTTCCTAACTGATGTAAACTAACCTGAACCAAATCCGGTTTAAACCAAATTAAGAGTGTCCATCCAGCCTTTTACATCTGTTTAATTAAACTGGTTTAAACTGGAACCTAAAAGATGAAACTGCTGATATAAACAAGTTCTGTGAGGTTAGGCCCTCAGGCAATAATTCCCACCCATTCCTCCCAGAGCAGACCATTGGGGAGCCCTTTGCAAACCAATGATCTGATCTGGTGCTGCCTGGATGCAGCCTCCTGGAGGAGGCTGGGATGGCAGCTATCTCACACCTCTCCCGCAGGTTTGTGTTGACCTATTTCCTGTTTTAGGGTTTTGATCACCTAGACCCCAAGTCTTCATTGTGTTTGCCTGGGTTCCACGTCCTTCAAACTCATTCATCTGTCCATCTGCACAAAGCACAGCCTGCATGATTGAAGGTGTGGGCGCATGGCATGCGCTGAGTTCCCCAGCTCTACTAATGACATACATCATGGCCTTTGGGTGAATCTCATGGCCGTATGTCCAAGCATTATTGCTCAGAGGGAAACAGCATAAGGAAATGATGCATAGAGATTTAATTCATTCTTAGCAACAGCACTGTCCCTCTGTGACCCCTGCCCCACAGCCTCATCCTCTGTGTTATAGCCATGCTAGCAAAAGCCATAAGCAGGATAATCCCTAGCACGGTTTCTCTGGCCATACTCACAGGCCTTTTAGTTTTGCTGAGAATCATGCAATAAGCCATCCCTGTGATAGCTTCGCACTATGGCTCAATGAGGTGGGGGAGGGGGAATTTCTGTCTACACTGGACAGAGAAAAAAACATGCTAGGAGGAATAGGTTTAGACACAGCTATTGGCTGGCCAAGTGGTCATCTGGAGCATCTCCACTGCTGTCTCCCTCCTGTCACTCCTCCCCTTTCTAGCCCTGAATGGTTCATCAGTACCTAGGAGTAATGCAGGTGTCAGCAGTGGGTATGTAGTTGTATGAGTTGTTACACAGTCACATACACGCTGAGGCTTTTCGCATCATGTCGGTCCTCTCTGTGCTAGAAAGTACCATGCTGGGACCTGTAACGTGGTCGGGGCTAAAATACAGCTTGGACTTGGGATCAACACTTGTTCTAACTGCATTCTTGAATGATGCTACGCAGATGGACTTGCCTGAACTGTAGTCTGTTGGCTGCCATCTTGGCCAACATCTCAGGGACTGAACTGGTGACCTGCAGCAAGCTGCTGCACCTTGAGTTAAAGGTTCCTAACTGTGCTGTAACAGACTCACCTCCTCTGCTGACTGGCTCAACGGGACCTGTGACAAACGCTCACCAGGGGTTACAGCAGCACAGTTTGGCCAATGTTTTAAAAACTGGTTCCCTTCTGTCTATTCCCCAGCACAGACCATGTTTTAACTCAGTCTGGTGGCCGGATCCCCAGATACCGCGCTTCGTTTGGTGGAGATATTAACTTTTTATTGTAATAAGCAGATGATGACCCAATGGCTGGAAGCTAAAGTGAGACAAATTCAGACTAGAAATAAGATGCAGATTTTTAACCGTAAGGGTGATGAGCCATTGGGACAACTTCCCTAGGGATGTGGTGGATTCTCCCTCATGCAAATCTTTAAATCAACAGTGCGGGTCTTTCTAACAGATCTCTCTAGCTCAAACAGAAGTAGAGGTCTCTGGCTGTGATCTACAGGAGATCAGATTGGATGATCTAATGGTTCCTTCTGACCTTCAAGTGGATGGACTGTCTTACTGTTTGTACAGTGGTAGCACCTATGCCCCCTAGTTCAGTTGTGCTAGATGGTGCACACATTACAGACCATCTTTGCCCCCAAAGACTGGAATTTGCTGGAGGCGCCTACTGCAGTAACTCCAGCTGCTTGTGCCCAGCATCTCTAGACGAGTTTAGAACAAACCTACAGACACTGCACAGATAAGGGTTGGATGGAGGGGCTGGGTTTGCAGCACACCCACAAGTATCTCGTCTGCCCTGTGTGGGAATAGAGACAGCCCCGGGTCATGGGCTCCTAATCCTATGCCCGTTGCTTGGCCCCACACTTACCAATGAAGATGAAGAAGATGGCGAAGGCAGCAATGTCCCAGTCTGACTGGAACATCTGTTTGGTTGCCAGTCTGCTCAGGACATCATTGATCTGGTTGTTGAACTCCTCTCCCAAGTTTTGCCCTTCAGATCCCATTTTTGGTTCCTTTTAGAGTTTCCCCTGTGGTCTGATCTACAGAGGAAGAGAGGGAGGATTGGTGCTGCTAATAACCGCTTCACCCCAGCTGAATGGCATTCCCATCCCCAAATGCTGGAATATCATTGAGAGACACGATTGCCTTGTCCTGAGCTTTGGCTGTGCTGGGCTTTACCCATATTGGCTGCTGGTTCCCTCTGAAACAGGGGGCCATAGGTGCTGCGTACAAGATGACTGCAGCAGTTCAGGCTTGCTTCCCTGCCCCACAGGCCACTGATCCTACTGCTCCAGGGCAGGAAGAGACCAGTGCATTCTGCTTGTGGAGTTCCAGCCCCCAGAGTGGGGAGAGGAGGGTCTGACCCAGTCTGCAGCGGGGTAACCAGGGTGAAGTGGTGCTGGGTGGCCACAAAGGGTTAACAAGTAACAGATCACAGCAGAAGTTGTGGAATGTCTGAGGCCTTGGCCACACAAGAAAGTTGCACCATAACCTGCCTAGAAGCAGACTGTCAGGCTGGTGTGACACCCCCTCCCCACACCCAGGACACTCTTGTTGCAGTTTAACAATGTCTAGCCATCCCTTTATCATGCGTGGGTTAGAATGTCCCAGGAGGAGCCAGCTATGAATTTGCTGTGTGACCTTACACAAGTCACTTGTCTTTTTGTGCCTCGGGTTCCCCATCTGTAAAACCAGCTTGCTCTGGAAGACACACAGATGCCGCAGTGACGAACGTGTTCTAAGAACCTGCACAGAACAGCCTGGAGAAACTTCAGTGCTGTTTACCAAATGCCTGATTGTTCCCTCCAGCCTGCCAGAGCTGGGAGCACAACACAACATTTCAGACAATACCAGTCGTGCCAGTTAAAGATGCAGGAGCAAAAAGTAAACAAACTCTTGTAACTTTGCAAGGCCTGAGTAAAGCTGAGCCCAGCTGGAGCTCACAGGGTAGTCACTCCTTTGGCTGCACGTAGGCTAAGGAGCCTGGAGGGAATTTCTCACACACTCTCCATTATGATGTTTGCAGCAGCATGGGAGCAGTGTGCTGGAGACCCAGGCAGCCTGCAGCATGAGAAACAAAGATGCAGTCATTCATATTTCCCAATCTGAACCAAAAAGCTGGCGATTCTGCATCCTGGAAACTGCCCCTATTGTGAAACTGAAATACTATTGATTCCATAGCGCTGGGCCGATCCCCTGCAGTACCTGTGTTCAGGGCTGGTGCAAGGAAGTTTCGCACCCTAGGTGAAACTTCCACCTTGAGCCACCCCCCCCCACACCCAGCTAAACCCCACCCCCACCCCCCGCGGCAGCTAACCACGCCCCCCCCCGCAGCAGCTACCCCCCCTCTGCAGCTAACCCCGCCCAGGGAGCCCCCCTCCACAGCAGCTAACCCTGCCCACTGCCGCCACTCCCCCCCACCGGGGGAGCCCCCCCTGCAGCAGCTAACCCCGCCCGGGGAGCCTGCCCCAGCACACCTCTGCTCCGCCTCCTCTGCTGAGCACGCCAGCACCGCTCTAATTCTCTTCCCCTCCCAGGCTTGCGGCGCCGATTGGAGGAGACTTAGAGCGGGGACTGTGTGCTCAGCGGAGGAGGCAGAGTGGAGGTGATCTGGGGCGGGGAGCAGTTCCCCTGTCGCGTCCCCCCCCCGTTACTGCGGGCGGCCCTCCCTGCGCCCCAGCTCACCTCCACTCCACCTCCTCGCCTGAGCGGGCTTTTATGCGCCCTCAACCACTAGGCGCCCTAGGCGGCCACCTAGTTTGCCTAGTGGTTGCACCGGCCCTGACGTGTTATCACTCTAAGGGGGTGTGGAAGGGTGAGGGATAGAAGCAAGGAATCCTCCTGTGCTCTGCCACTGCCATGCAGGGAAAGCCACATGGTGCAATTTGGGAAACCTGCCCAGATTTCTTAGGGATACCCCAGCAAGTCTCAGGCTGGGTCTACACTACCCGCCTGAATCGGCGGGTAGAAATCGACCTCTCAGGGATCGATTTATCGCGTCCCGTCGGGATGCGACAATCGATCCCCGAATCGACGCTCTTACTCCACCAGCGGAGGTGGGAGTAAGCGCCGTCGACGGGAAGCCACAGAGGTCGATTTTGCAGCCGTCCCTACAGCGGGGTAAGTCGGCTGCGATACGTCGAATTCAGCTACGCTATTCGCGTAGCTGAATTTGCGTATCTTAAATCGACCCCCCCCCTGTAGTGTAGATGTAGCCTCAGACAAGCCCTTGTAGTTCCCAAGGCTGCAGCCTGACACCAGAGCTGCATTCTCTCTAGTGGGAGACATGACCTGCTACTGCTAGAAACACTCACACCAAATAGCAAACCACCCCTTGTGGGCCAGGGCAGTCCCTGTTCCATTTACTGACTGACCTACAATGTATTGCAGGGAAAGAAACCATTTTCACATCACCAACTCATGAAAGTCTCCTGCTCTGTCCTTTATCAGGGATCTGTCCTGAGCCAGAGGGGGGAAATCCAGAGATAACAAAGCTTAAAGGGGTATGGTGCCCTCTGGAAACTATGGATAGTAGAGGGTGAAGGCTGGAAAGCAGAACAGTAGTGCTGGCCTAGTGATTAAATACTGAACTGAGGCTCTGCCACAGCCTCCCTATGTAACCTTGGGCAAGTCACTAGCTCGGTCTGTGCCTCAGTTTCCCCACTTGTAAAAAGAGGTCAATACTGACCTATTACCCAGGGATGATGTGGGGTGTTCCGATACTACGGTGATGTGGGTGTGCATATATGTAGTTACTGTGAATGTTTCCTCTCTTACATGGGCCCCAGTCAGACACAGTGTTAAAGCCACACGCTTTAAGTGCATGGACATGGCTGAGAAAAATGGCAGCTCCCCCATCCCAGGGCAATGCCTTCAGGTAGCAGAATGTCAGTGATGGGGGAAGGAAGGTTAGTTCCTAGTTGCCTATGGCAGCAAACCCCCTGCAGCCTGGCTCGCTGCTTCCAGTTCAGACTGAACAGCCTGCTGAATGTAGGGACAGGACCTGACTGCAGACTTTCCTCCAAACTAGCAGCTGTGGCCAATTTCCCACAGCTCCTGAGAGCTGCCGGCCAGGGGCTCTCCATGCCTCATCCTTTCCCTTGCAAAGCCAGCCTTGATTGAAAACAGGCTCGCAGGTTTTGGCACCCCTCATCCAGCTTGTCACGTCGATTACTTGGCGAGGGCAGAGGTACTAAGATTCCATAGCACGCCTCAATCCACAGCAGAGCACCCATCAATAACGGAGGGAGGGTGCCACAAAGCCTTCCCATGACAGTCAGCATCACTCAGTGGGGAAATATGGCCGCCATCAGGCTCACTGTTATTTCTGCCTTTTGTTTCTCTTCCCTTCCCCTTTCTCTCCCTCTCTCGCTTCCCTGTCTTTGTGTCTCTCCTCCTCTGCACTCCTCTTCTAGCCATAACATCCAATTCCCCCAGCGCCTTGAGCTTCCCTTCCACTCCTTCCCCTTTTCCAGCTGCTACAATGATCAGCAGTGAATTAGCAAATACTGACATGTGAAGTGTCATCATTACGCTCCAGAGCTAACACCAGACATGCTGATGACAAAAACATACCCCTGCTGTAGGTGAAACTGAGACATTGCTTCAGGCTGCTTTCAGACTCAGGAAGACAGCACTGCATCAGTTCACCGCTGCCTCATTGTCTGCACGGTGAATGTTACAACCAGGAGGGCTAGAATACCTTTTATATGTCTATAAATGGAAGCTGAATCTGGACTATGCTCTGCTGCCCCAGGGACACGTCCGAGAGGCCAGATCTGGCCTGAGTGTTTGAAGTCACTGCCCTAGTCACTTTCAGATGGTGATGAGTGCTAAGAGGCACTAGAAATAAACCCGGCACAAAGTGCATTCCAGATCACGTGCAGCTGCTGAAAGCCAGAGGCCCTATGTGCCGGTGACAAATACATATGCCTGCGCCAAGTGAAACTGCTTCTGGCATTGCCCAGCTGCTGTGAGGCTCAAAGTACAAGCAGAGTGGGGTTCTATCCTCCCTGCTGAAAGCTTGCTGGGTAGCACTTGCTTCCCCTTCTAGCACTGTTGCATGGAGCTGCCGTGAGAGAGATCCAGCGCTCCACTCCAGAGGAGGCTGCATTTCAGCATAGGGGAAGTGACTGTTCTCTCTGTATGCTGATGAGCCTGGGGGAGCTGCGTGAGGCCTCTGTTAGCAGTTCCAGCCTTTGGTTCCATGAAGGAGAAGCTCAGCTTGCAGGTACAAATATAATTTGGTCTCTAGCCCTTTTTCCTTGGGAAGCTCCTTGAAAACATGACTGACTGTGATGGCAGAAAGGAAACAGGAGCTGGGCTCTGCTTTCGCAGCCAGCAACTGAGCAGAGAGGAGTGGGGGAATCTAAAGATCCCCCCGGCCCATATACACACACAGTTTGGGGTGGTCTCCCCAGAACCATTTCACTGGCCCTTCCCTCAGCCCGGCCCTGTCTGCAGCAGGGGGTGGTGGGCAGCAATCAGGTTTGCAGGCAGGGGGGTAGTTGGTTCTCAGACCCAGCCAAAGACCCCAGGCCAGCCCTGCTTAGCAGCATTTCCAGGCCTCTGGGAGGCTGGGATCAAGCAGCTGCTGCTCTCACTGCATTACCATTGTGACCGCAGGGGATCGCTCCTCCTTGTCCCCAGCCAGCCTCACTGGCAGCGCGTAAGGGACGCCCCGCCGAGTTCTTCCATCTCCCTTCCCGGGGCTGTTCCAGCAGGGGCTGCTGGGCTCCAGCTCCTGCAGCTGGGAGTCCTGTAGGCACTGCTGCCACCTCTCTCCCCACGCACTGCCAGGCTGGGGCGTCACAAGCCAGAATGACGAGGGAGCCTGGAGACCTGCTCCTCCTGCCAAGGGAGACCTCCCATCCCTGGGGAGACCACCAATCAGGGGAGACCTGCCTGCCAAAAGAGCACCGGTTCCCTAACCAGCCAACCACCCAGGCCCCCCATGAGAGGGGATGTACTTCCCGCCTGGCCACGGGGTGACCCACCTGCCACAACCACTGTATGAGGCCTAGCTACCAGGGCACGGAGCCAGATCTCTGTGGGAAGCAGAGGATGGACCAGGAGGGTCTGAGCAGCTCCACTTATGTGCACCCAGCTAGCCAGCCTGGCACATTTTTGGATGTGGCCCCTACTTGTGGGCACCTCAGGGCTGGGGCTCCTGACCCGAAGGCCTACGCCAGCAGAACCTCCTTGGAGCGGTGAGATCCTGCCAGGGGTTCCTAACTCCCCAGGGACAGAGCGCCGTACAGCTCTGGAGCACCCTGCAATCCCACCACGCTCTGAGGCTCTGGCCATTGCAACCCCCGGCACTTCCTCCCCGCTGGGCCCTGCAGTGGCTTCCACAGAGAGAACCCCCTGGAATAGGTTCCCTCATTTCCTTTAGCAGCCCCAGCCCTCTCAGCGCCCGCCCTCGTACCAGCCTTGACCCTATCCCTGGGCGCACCACCACAGCCTCTTGGGTGGCCCTGGCCCTTGCCCCCGGGGATCTGCAACCCCAGAGTGGGCTGTGGGAGCTGGCTCCTGGTGAGCAGAGAGCTCCCAGAACGAGGAAGTAACTTCAGTTCCCCAAACTCGCCTCTGAGACAGACCCAGAACTGCAGCCCTGGCTGAGCAGCACAACCCCCGGGGCGCAAATAACCCCCCCTTCCCTGAAAGGGCAGCTTCCTGAGCGGAATGTTTACCTTGGGACCCTCTTCGAGCGCTTCTTCCAGCCGCTCTCCTCTCTGCAGCAAGCTGCGCTCCCTGGCCTCCACTTCCTGGTTCCTTCTGGTGCCAGCTGCACAAGGATGTTGATTGGCATCCACCTGAGTCCAAGGAGTGGCAGACACACCTCCAGCGTCCTCCCCCTTTGGGGAAGGAAAGGCTTGCGGGGGAGGGGGGTAGCGTAGACTGCTTGTTTTGCTTCGTCCTGGCAGCATCCACCTGCTGAGGGCTGCTGTTGGCAGAGCTTTCATGGAGATCCCTCTCTGCACCTTGCAACCGGGGTTGGCCCGGGGTTTCAGAAGCCCTTATACCATGGTTTGGGGAGCAGTGGCTTGTGGGTTGTTTGAAAACACCAGGCTCTGCTCTGTCAGACTGGGGCAGTGCCGGACTTGTAGCTTCCCATCCGTTGTAGATTGCCCTGGTTCAGCTGAGCTAAAGTCCTCATCCCACAGGCTGTGACCAACTGTTACAGCCGATGCTTGTAGGAGGCATGCGACAGCTGCTGTCTGAGGACACAAGGTGATGTATGGGCACTGCATGCTCACAGGGCTCCAAGCAATCAATGGCTTCTTGCACTAGTGTCCCATGGCCCCAGCCAGGCAAAGGGGGGAAGATTTCCTGAGATTGTCCCTCTGCTGAAGCAGCGTCGCAGAAGTGGGATGTTATGGCCCAGAGTTAACAAGGCTGCAGGATGGAGGCCTCCCACTGCTAGGCTAGCTCATGGACAGCTCCATTCTCACTCATAACGCCACTTATTTCTCAGTCATTTTCTTCCCTTGCCCTGCAGCACAGCACCCAGCCTGGGACATCTGAAATGCTGCTTGCAGAGCGTGCTGTAGGCACCAAGCCTGCCACAGGGGTGAAGGTGGGAGGCCAGCGACAGAGAGCCCTGAGAGACACCAACAGAGAGGGACCTGGAAGAGGAGAAGCCAGGCAGGCAGAGGCAACCAAACTAAAAGAGGGGAACAATCAACAGGCTGCAGAGCGAGTTAGGGAGATGCGGACAGAGTCTGGGTCCCGGGCTCCACCCTGAAGAGGTCGCTGTGGACCTTGGGGAGCAGTCTAAGTGGGGTGGAGAGAGCGGAAGCCAGACTGGAGGGTCCCAGAGGGACATAACAGCACCGTCACTTAAGAAACCCATTAAAGGGAAGGAAAACAGCTTGGGTGGGAGCTGCACCCTGGCTCTCCTCTTTCTTGACAGGAAGGAAAGGGAGCCACAGAGCTGACCCCCCTCGTTGTCCTGGGCACAGGAGGAAGGAAGCAGTGATGCAAGGCTAGGATGGAGCAATGTCTGGCTCTTATGCATCCTCTGCCCCCCTTAACAGGAACTGCCCCACTGAGCAGCTCTCTGCCCCTCTCCCCGGGTGCTCTTGATGCCCTGACTTGCAGGCTCCCTGGAGGCCCGCACAGGTGGTAGCGCCCCAGGAGAACAGCTGGTCAGACTGGAGAGGCGCTGGAGCCGAGTGGACCCAGCCCGCAGTCAAATAGATGCAGGGCAGGCCGAGGCAGCTGATGGGTGTGGGCTGAGCTTTGGGGGTGTGACAGCTCATCAAGCGAGGCACATGGAAGTGCAGGGCATCCGTCACACCAGGCAGTCAGGCTGCTTCTTCAGGGGCCAAAATATGGGTTTAGCAGCGTAACTTCCAGACAGAACGGTTGTCCTGAGTCTCCAGCGGACTCGGCTGAATAACAAAAACATAGATTCACCCAGAGATGCAACTAAACAGTTGGCTTCTCCATGCTGCTGCTTGCAGGGGTGTGTTATTTGTGGGTAGCCAGGTGGCCAGTGGGCAGTTGAGAAAATATTTCTGAATTGCAGAGTTTTCACCGCGTTTTAAAATTCTTCCAGGAAAAAAAAAATCATCCCGGAAATATGTTGCTCTATTTGTCACCTAAAGTAGGGTGCTGGGTGGGCCAGTGGTTAGGTCACTCCTTTGGACTATAGGAGACGAAGGGTCAATTCCTGCTTTGCCACAGACTCTGAAACAGGGTGACTTTGGCCAAGTCCCTTGGTTGCTCTGTGCCTCAGTTTCCCCCTCTGTACAATGGGGATAATAGCAGTGCCCTACCTCAAAGTGGTGGCGTGAGGATAAATACATTAAAAATCATGACTGATGCTATGGTGATGGCCAGATCCGTACAAGAGGCAGAGCACCTCACATATGTTAATGAGTTGATTCTCAAATCCTTGTGAGGGAGCTTCCTATTAACCCCTCCCTCTTTTGCAGAAACGGAGGCACAGTGCAGGTAGGGGAGCTAGCCGAGGTGGAGCTGGGAACTGAAGCCAGGCAACTGAGGTGATGCAATGTCAGTGGCTGGAGAGGATTTGAAAGCTGTTGTAAAGGAAGCACATTTGGCAACGGGCAGGCTGTGGGGAGGTGACTGATGGTGCAACCCCTGGTGGGCACTGAGGCCAGCCTGGAGGAGGAGATTGCATTAACTTTGTTGGCAACAGGAAATTCTTCTCCGTTCTCAACTGCCCAGTCATTGCTGCACAGCTCCGAGGATTAATCCTGTCAAATTGGAAAGCAGGTGCACACGGCAGCGAAGTCCAGTGTGATGGGGATGGTTTGATGACCCACTTTCACAAGGCTGACAGGTACATGGCTCAGCCCTACTCCTGCCCCAGGCAGCTCAAGGGAACTCAGGTGATTCTGCAGCCATGAGGCCAGAAGGCAGGCCGTGAGAAAATGGAATTGGCTGGAGTGGGGCAGGCAGCCTCGGGAAGTCATTTCTCAGGTACACCGGCTACTGGAGAGATCAGCTAACCAGCTGTATGGATGTCACGCTGGCTGGGAAAAGCTAAGTGAGATTATTCCTGCATCATAGGCTTCCCGGTGTGAGAGAAAATGAACGAGAGAAGCAACAGATGGAAAGGAAATGGCCTGGAGTGGGAGGAGAGAGGCAAAGCCTTGATGACGGGGACAGCAGTTTGCAGATGGCCAGGGATTTTTATAAGGATTTTTGAATGCAAAGAGCAAAGTGAATTCTGATGTGTAACAAAGGTACAGTTGGCCTGTGGAACTCACTGCCACAGGATCTCAGTGAGACCAAGAGATTAGCAGGATTCAGAAAAGGATTGGACGTTTCTGTGGACATCCAGAGTAAATTCCGAACATAAAGAAGGAGTTCTGGACAGGATACAAACCCTCCAGCTTCAGGGCATGAGCTACACTCTAGCAATTATGGATCAGGAGGGAACTTTCCATGGGGGTAGGGTGATCGCATAGCTGCTACTGCAGGGTTTATTGCACCTTCCCCTGAATCATCTGGTAATGGCCACAACAGAGCCAGGATACTGGGCTAGATGAACCCCAGGTCTACTCCCATCTGGCAGTGCCTGCATTCACATAACAAACAGTCAGTACAGACTGAGTGTCCTTGCAGCCAGCTTCTAATTAACCACACGTAGACCTGTGCCCTTCCGAATGCGTACACAGAAATTAACTCCTGAACAACAGAGATTGGGGATCAGCCCTCTTGGGGGCCGCGCTTTATACACAGAGGTTTATTAGAAGCACTGCTTAGCAGCTTCCTCAGGACAGCACCCCATCTGCCAGCTGGGACGCCGGCAGGGTGAGCGTCCCCACAGCAGCACCTTCCCAGTGCAGACCAGGTGGGATGCTAGCTCCTGATCATGCATGGGAACGTTTTGTGTGCTGCCGGTACAAGCACACCCAGATATCCTCAGCTTAGCTAAGATGTTGGGATGTGTCCGTGAATGGGACTGGTACGTAAGTGATCTGCCTTGGCACTCAGCTCAAAGAAACCTTGTTCTGATTGCTCGCCTTGTAACCTCACTAAGGTGTCCTGGTGGCCTGGCTCCCTCCGGTGCTATAGTAGAGGGGAGAGATGGAACCCGTGCAGAGCCGTCTGACGTTCTCCATAACAAGTGGGATCCCAGAGGTTGATCTCCAGTAGATGGCCCCCTTGCACCACACTTACCAACCCTGGCAGGCTGGGCAGCGTGCACGGCATTGTATGCACCCTGATGCCCCACTCTGCTCTGGCTAAATGGATTTGCCATCACTCTGTTGCCCTGCCACCTTCCCTCTCTCATCTCACCTGGCCCCTGTTGGCAGGAACTAATTCCTCCCTCCTTGCCCTTCTTCCGAGCCGGAACCACGTCCCCTTCTCGCTGGGTTCGTCTCAGCTCCGGCGTGGGTGGGATGGAGAAGCTTGTGTCCAGCTGGTGCTAGGGCAAGGCCGTGGGACACGTGAATCCAGTGCCTGTGAAGCACGCGGAGTCCCATGGTATGTTTGGAGAGTCAGTGTGTCCCAGGGACATGGCCCTCAGCTGGGCCTCAGGAGACTTTGCTCCTGGCTCTGCCGCACCCTCGGGTAAGTGCCTTCCCCACTGGGCCTCTGTTTTCCCCTCACACTCTAAACAGACAAAGGGGGAAAGCTCTGCAGGGCAGGGACTGGCTCTTGCTATGTGTGTGTTTAGCCCCAGCACGCCGGGAGGGGCCCTGCTCTCGGTTGAGGCCTGCTAGGTATCGTTGTGATTTAACAAAGTCTGCCTGGAGCACAACCCATGTGTGGGTCTGATACGTAGGACTGTGCTATGTCGGGGGGCAGCCCAGCTGGGGGGACTCAAATCGACTGCGTGGTGCATCAGCAGCAGGGTTCAAATGCGGTTAGCAACCAAAGCAGCTGACGGTGTTTCCCACCTGACAGTAGCCTGGCGCCTGGCTGTCTTCCTGTAACCAGTTTAACAAGCTGATTTCCACTCTGGCCAGGACCCTCTGATCTGCTTGGCGTAACCAGTTCAGCCGGTCTTGCTCCCGCTCAGTTCATGGTGCAATAGGGCATCCCACAATGCACTGCTGCTAGTGCTGCTCTGGACTCTATCTCATGCTGGGGCACTATAGCAGAGCTGCTCAGATTTCCCCACAATGCACTGATACAAGCCTGGTTACACTGCACAGGAGGTGAGGAGACACAAAGTCTAGTCTATATAGCAGGGATAGGCAACTTTAAGGTAGTAGAGGGCCACAAGTTCATGAAAACTCTTTGGTGAACCAGGAGTGGTGATATAGGGGTGTGATGGGGGGAGGGGAGAGTGTCAGGTCCTGCCCTCGGGTGGGTGGGAGGCACTGCTGGATCGCCAACTCTGAGCTGGTCTGGGGCAGGCCAAATAAAATAACCTGGCAGCCTGGATGTGGCCCCCGGGCCGCCAGTTGTCCATCCCTGCTATATAGGACCTTATACGGCGCTCATCATTGTAGAATCTGAACGTCTTCCAGTAGTTCATTAAAGAACATGCCTACACATCTGTCCCATGTTGTGTGTTCTCTCATCATCTCCCCAGTGGATTCTCTCTGCTGTCTGGTTCATCCTGGCATTGGGAGATGCTTCAGCCCCGGTGAGCATGTCTAGCAGAGAAAGCAGCCTTGGACACACTAATCACAGAAATGATTCAGAAAAACCTGCCATCCCACAGATTTCCAGGCCCATATCACCTGGGTCCATTCAATGCAGAGAACATGAAAAGTAGAGATTGGGGCTGATGCTGGGACATCCAGAGCTAGTCAATGGATTAGTGCTAAATTCCCAGGAGAGAACAATGCTGCAGCGGTGGGTGTGTTCCTCCTCAGGCCTGCTGGACCAGACGGCTTACAGACACAAGGCATAGAAAGTGGAAGGAGCTCCTACCTCTGCAGATAGTTTGTCCATGTCTCACTGCTGTAGTGTCCTTCATGAAGCCAGCAGAGAGCGTTTGGGTCTTTGGGGGCCCGGTCATGCTTTTGCCCAGCATTTCCCATCGGGCATTGCAGCTTGTCCCCAGGTACAATGCTGCTATCTGAATTCAGTGAATGTCTGATCCATTTGTGTGACTCCAAGTCCCCCAGCCAGAATAAACCATGAATGGATGTGCTGGATGCAGCTGATCTTCTCCGGAGGCTGCTGCTGGCCTCTCTTTCTCTGACTCTGTTTTGCCTCCTTCATGTCACTGAATCTCTCTCTTTTCCTAGTCCCTCAGGAACTGGATAGCACCCTTCCAGTGCCTTCTGTGCAAGGATCTCAAAGCGCTGCGCAGACATTAGAGAATTCAGCCTCACCACGCCCTGGGAGGCAGGTAAAGTTTCCCTGATTTGACAGATGTGGACACCAAAGCACAGACAGTACCTTGCCTAAAGTCACAGAGCGAGTTAGCAACCGAGCCGGGAATAAAACTCCAGATCTCCTGACTGCAAGTCCTCTGCGCTAAGACATCCTGCTTTCCTGAAAAGTCACCTGAGCCGTTTCCTCCTTTTGCTGCTAGACAGAACAAAGAACCAGTTCGTAATAAAGTCTTTACAGGAAAGATCATTTGGATCTGCAGGTGGCCTGTGCAAGATTACAAGAGTTTGCCGCACCGCCCTCAATCAGCGTGAGGCCAGGGAAATGGGTAGCAACCGCGTTTGCTCTGCCTGGGAGGTGTCAGCTTGAAATCTATCCATTGCACAGTTTCATCCTGTAGATGTAAAGAGTTGTTCAAAAAGCCATTGTTGGTTGGAGATGTTCCATCTACAACACTTACAGCGAGAGGCCTTAATTTAAACCCCTGTTGGTGGGCTCCATATACACCAGCCCCACTGGAAACCTCAGACTTTGTGTGTTGAGTGAAACCTCCTGATGTGGTTTAAAGAGCTTTATTACAGCAGCCGGAGGCAGGCTGATTCCCTGTCTCCAGAGAAAGGTCGGAAGGACAAGGCACTTTCTTTACAGCACGTGTACAGCGGGAGAGTGACTCAGCAGCCACAGTGGGGACTGGAGCGATGCACTGGGAAGCAGTGAAAGTGTATTGCAATTAGCAGTATCAGAAGGGAAACTAAGTCACTGGTCTCTGCTAGGGAAGGTGAGTGGGGAAGAGGGCCGTGTGCAGTTGTGATGTCTGTGCCGCCTCTTCATGACTCTGAGAAAGCAATTCAAGCCCCAGCAGCCCTGGGAGCCAGTTCCTTCTCCGTCAGGTCTCCAGTCAACAGGAGTATGGGGACATCTATCTACCACAGCACTGAGTCTCAGAGCGCAGGTCAATGGACTTGGGCTCACATGGGTCGGGTGCTGGGTTGAAAATAGCAGTGTAGACGATACTGCTTGGCCTGGAGCCCAGGCTCTGAGGCTGTCCCCCATTGTCTGGGTGCAGAGCCTGGGCTCCATCCCAAGACCAATGTCTACTTGGCTCTTAGCAGCCCCATGAGCCCAAGTCAAGTGACCCAAGCTCTGAGACTCAGCCCCGAGGGTCTTTTATTGCAGCGTGTGACACAACAGACAAGCTGCTGGCTGGAAAACAGCCCTGCCAAGAAGCAAATTCTCAGGCAACTGAGCGACAGTCTTCACTGCAGTGTTAGCTCAAGAGGAGAGAACTTGATCTGTCCCAGTTCGAGTGAGAGCGGTCACACTGCAAAACAGCACTGGAGCAGCACAGGGTGAATGGATTAGGAGCACAGTGGGTCTGTCTGCCCAGCAAAGAAAAACCCACAACTGGCCCATGCCAGCTGACTTGGGCTCGTGGGGCTGTTTCATTGCTGTGTAGACTTCTGACCTTGGGCTGGAGCTCATCTCTGGGACCCTCCCACGCCAGTGTCAGCAGTTCTCAATCATCA